AACAAAAACAAAAACAAAAACAAAAACCACCACAACAAAACGCAGCTATCTTTATTTCCATAACTTCACTAGTTTCTCTTAAGAATTACATTTGAAAGGTAAGATTGATATTGTTTAATATTGCATAGCTTGGACAGTCCAAGCATCTTCAGGTCACTAGATCTGTCTGCTTGTACATTTAGTAATAGAGCATTATGTTCCATCTGCTCTTGGGATTCATTTGTGGTAGATTTTCTTGACAATGATGGAAGTTAAAACTTTTTTCCTAAAGAAATCCAGGACTTCTTATGCACTTCTGTGGAGTGAATTTCTGCATCTATTGTGAAAAAAGCATTAATTACAAAAAGAGAAAAAGCTTATTAAGCTCTGAAAAGGAGTTAGTAGATAGTGGAACTGTTATGGTCATATAACAAGAGGGATTGTATTAATGAACATTTTGGTAGGGAAGTTTGAGTAGAGTTTAGTGCAAGGGATTTGTTTGTTTACATTGGTATGAACAGTGTGGAATCAGGTCTTTGTAACTGATTGTTGTGGACACAGGACACTGGTCAAGTCACACTCTTGGATCACTGACAGGTCCTTATATGGAGGTCAAACTTTTCTTCTATGGAGACAAATATGGAGGCAAATTTTCTTGTGAATCAAATACTGAAGGGCAGAGTGGGACGTACACCTGTTTTAACAGTAGTCCTTTGGCTGCTAAGTGTTCTCTCTCTGGTTTTACCTTTATTTTAAGGCTAATCTTAATAAAGCAATGTGTGTCATAAATGAGTTCATCATTCAGCTTCAAGCATCAAAATTCACAGCTGTCATTCAAGGCTACTGTTGTTTTTCACTGCTGCTATTTGAGACTGTGCTATTTTGAAAATGTTGTTGATGATCCTAAGAATGGTCAGTATCCTATGTAAATACACAGAATCAAAGAAGACTGTCTGCCCTGAAGGTCTTACATAGATGGCAGCAGATGGGTGCGTTGCTGGGTCTGAGATGAGGAAACAACAGGCAATTGGTCATTGTGCTAGGGAGACTTATGACATCAGGTTTTCTAGATCGTCAGCATGGAAATATGAAGGAGCTTATTTGAAAGGAGTGAGAGCTAGTGTTACTGGTCAATCAAAGCTGAGTCACTATTTAATAAGTGAATGAAGTTAAACAAGAAAATAAACAACAAAAAGTATTCAGACTACAAAACCATTTTTATGACAGAGATCCAGCAATGTTAAAAATAGGTGACATACACCAAACTTTCTTTACTAACAGTGATAATGTGTTTCAGGAAGTTAATGCTTTAACCTGTAAGGATGAGAAATTTATAATGCGTTGTGCAAGAAATGTAACCCTGGCGGCTAGAAAGAAAACAGTCTGCATGCCAGTGGTAGAGATTTTCATTGCCCAGTTGTGTAAATGAACTTGAATCACCATTTGTGCTTTGAGGTTTTTTAATTGCAGTACTTCTTTATTGTTGCTATTGTCAGGCTGTCTTACGGCAGTTCCTCTCCTGGGGGAAGAGTTCTCTAACTATAGATGCTGAGTCTTGTATACGCACAGGACTTTATCCTGTTTCCCAGTCAGCTTGAGTGTATAATTTAAGACATTCAGGAGGATGAAATAAACACTTCTTTACTAATTTTTCTCCAACAAGTGTATGCTCAAAGATAAGCAATGAAAATACATTTTTTCCCCTTAAGACCTGAAAGAATGATAGTTCATAGCAGTCTTTGCTAAGAAAATGCTACATGCTTCTAAGAAACTTTAGAGAGATTTAATTGTTTCCAGTGTTCGATTATGCATATAGAAAGAAATAAATTCATTAAGCTGGGGGTGGGCAGATTTTTCTTTCCCAACTTCTCTATGAATTATATGCATGACCTGCCCTTGTTTTTAGATTCTGTAGACTCTTCTGGTATATTCACCTTATTAAAGACCAGTCATGCATCTTATACTCTGCACTAGGGATTTATTAATTAATTTTATCAAATGTTGCAAATGCAGTAAGATCTGAGTAAGATAGTGTTACTTAGTTATTTTATTGCCAGATATTTATTTTTTAGTTTGTTTTCTGTAATTCTTAGGACTTTAAGTAATTAGGAAGTTGTGTTGTTTCTTCTGGTTTATAATATTTTTGTTTCACTCTGTCAGAGTTTTAAGTTTAACTGTCCTATTTCTTTAAATTGAGAGTTTAAATAAATTGTTATGTAGTAATTTTGCATTTATTAATTTATCATCTTCCTAACATCCCTTCCTTACTTCCATTTAATTCAGTAAAAAAGCTATCCAGGAAAGAAATCTAATTCTGTAAAAGCAAACATTTATTTGTTTTGTTACTAGTGAGGGAAGCTTGGTGATGTGCTTTTGCAGTTTCTTGTTCGAAATACTGCTTGTAGAGAAACAATTATTTCCTTTTACCTCCATACAGAATCAGTATCGTTTTGAAGGAACTGGCTTTCCAACTATTCCTCAGCTCATAGAACATCATTATACAACAAAGCAAGTTATTACAAAGAAATCAGGTGTTGTTCTGCTGAATCCTGTTGTTAAGGTAATGCATACATTCCAAGAACTCTATTTAACTGAAAAATAATTTGAGGGGGTTGTATTGTTATTTAAAATATGTTCCTATGCAACTTTTCAGAAGATTTTTCATTCTTGCTCGTTTTGTGGCTCTCTTTTTCTGAGCTTTTTCAACCTTCTCTGCTCTGTGTAACACATTCCTTTAAAACAACACTCCATCCTGATTTCTATCTTGAAAGAATGGCATTCAGCATCTCACAAAATATCCTACTTTCCTTTTGGGTTTCCAATTTGGATTTCACTAGTAAGTAATTGAAAGTAGTAGTTCATTGCCCATAAAGTTGTGATGAAGAATTTTTTTTGATAAAGTGGTGTTCATTAAGTGGTGAAGTTCTTACGAAATTTGGAAGAGTTATGACAACTCCATTTTGTCTCTATTTTATATCTCAGATATAAGTTATGCAGACACAGAAAAAAATGCTGTCATTCCAGCGTCAATGCAAATTTGAAATAAAAGATCCCTTTTTAAGCAGTAAGCTCTTGCAGAAAGTCTTTCAGGAGAGAAACGAAAAGGGATGGAAATATTAAGCTATATCACTATTTAGAAAGCTTAAGGGTCTCCTTGGCTTCTTCCAGTAGTTTTGCAGCTAGTAACTATTTAGTTGATATTTCCTTCATAAGTCAACTCTTTTCCACTTAAGTCTTTGCATTTTAACTATGAGTAAGCCATTTGTTCTTGATTTTTTAAAAAAAGACTAGTTTCAAGCATGTGTAAAGCACATCTGTGTTTTGCAAAATTTTAGGAACCATCACAATTTATATTTCAGAGTTAGTTTCCTACTCCAAGACCCTAGTTCTTTTTTGTTAATAATGCTAAGAAATTAAAGCATATTCCCTTTCTCAAAATTAACATGATTTTTTTACACTTACCTGTGCTTACCTAATATATAATTTTAAAATTTAAAGAATGGTGCTTTGTTAATACACATTTTAGGTTAATGTCTCTCTGATTACCAAGTTGACTCTTTACTGAATGAAAATATTGCTTAAATTCATTGTAGAACTTATGAGAAAGCATAGGACATTATTTTTGATATGTGAATAACTGTAATTTGATATAAACTGTTTAAGCTAAAAATAAAGGGCTGTCAAACTCAAAATCTTTTTTATCTGTTTGCAAATTTTTGTCTTTTATAATACCATATTTGTATTAAAAGTTTAATGCTCTTTCTGTTTCCTGGCATTGTTTAGTGCCTTTGTATCATGTACATACTATGAGAGCAGCCTTGTTTTAGCAAATTTAAAACTATACTGCAGTATGTTACTACATACTAAATGATAGCAAAATTTATTCTTAGCCTCTGTTAAGGTTAAAGTGGAAAACATCATCTGGAAAACATCATTTCTTCATTCTCTGTTGTTTACTTTGAAAACAGGGAGTTTCCATATTCCTGCTTTTTTTTTTTTTCATTTTGCTATCATTTTTATTTATAAAGTTAAGTTTTAATTTATGCATAGTTCTGTGTAACTGTGTATAGTCAAACAATTTTTCTAGTACCTATACTATGGAAGAAATACGGTTCCAAATTACTTGCCTGGTAGTTTCTCCATTACCGTACTTGATCTCATGTCCTTTGAGGTGTAAATGCACACAGGATAGTCTAAAATTCCTTGATGATAACCATGCAGACACGTATGACTATGTGGTGGGTCTTTCCAGGACTTGAATTCATATCACAACCACTACATTTAGATGTGTCATGACATCCTTATGAAGCAAGGGAGGACCATTTTTAAGACAGACTTTATAGCTTTTCTACTGTGACTGGGTGCACAGTCAGGTTTCTGTTTTTCTTATTTTCAGGGGGAAAATGAAGTGGGCCCACTTATCTCTGGACCTGTTGACTTGAGTTAGTCTAACTAAAATTAGTGGAAATATTAGTATTTCCTCTAGGATCATGCTAGTGTTATGACCAGTTGGTAGTTTATTTGAGTTGCAAAGTACTTTGACTACTCAGGTTTCCTAAAGTGCTGCAAGTGATTGGCATCTATCCATAAAATCCAATCACACGGGCTCCATTTATTTTGTCATATGACTGACTTTGTACTGATGTGCATCAGTCTTAATATTCAAGAATATTTCCTTTAGAGATGATGAACTTCTTAACTTTCATTCTGATAGGTTACGTGAAGTAATAAAAAGGAGGTCCATGGTAATACTGACTGTTAATGCTACATAGGGTATGGGGTGACTGGAACCTTTATTGTATAGTTTTTTTTAAATATACATATTACATGCTTTGTATGTAGGCTTTCAAGAATTTATGAAATTTGATCTGAGTGTCTGATAGCTACTGACACTTTGCATAAACTAAAACCAATGTATAGTGTACTTAGTGCTTCATGACCAGCAATTTGAACCAAGTAGGACAGTATTGAAAAGAGTGTTAGCTAGGTTATTTAAATTGGTTTAGAGCAGCTGTTTTAAAAAAAAAAATAAATTGTTTTGGTTTGTAATACTTTCAATGTGAGCTACAATTTTATCATGATTTTAGTTCTCCCATCTGATAAAAACTAGTTGTTCGAAAAAACTATTTCAGAACTGAAGAAAGTTGTTCGCTTTCCTTTGCATGGAGCTCTGGCTTTCATATGGGGAAGTGGAGACATTTTAACTTATTTTCAGAAATAGCATATGTACTCTGACACCTAGTGTTGGGGTTATTTTAAGTATTGTGTGCATAATATCTTGGCTCATTACCTTAAATGTCATTTGACATCTGCAAAGACTGTTTTTTTCTTTGTTCATATTACAGCTGCAAAGCAGTCTTTGACGTTTTGTGCAATCTTTAATCTTTTTATGCAAATTGCTGTCCCTGTAATAACCTATTTAGAAAGTGAAAGTTAAATAAGAGAACTTCACAGAAAAAAATTATGCTATGTAGTTTGGTTTTGCTGTCCTTTCTTCCACCAATCATTCATCCTCCTTTGCCATTTTAGTAAAATTAACGTTCACCTTCTGTGACGTTGCCCTTGAAAGGAATGCTCTTAATTGTGCCACAAAAGGCCTGTCCCACATCCCATTTCATGTAGACCAAATCTGCCTGCTTGGAATTTTAATGATACTGTAATAATAGAATTTAAGTTAGAAAAACTGAGGGCATTAAAAAGATACCTGCAAGTGATTCCTTTAATGGAAAAGTCTCATATTTACTTATAATCTTTTAGAAAAAATGCACGTTATGTTCTTCAATTTATTATTGATGGAATGACTGGTACGTGAAGCCCCCAAGTAACCTCAGTGCGTACCCAAGAACTTTATTAGTAGAAATGCTATTTTAACCATAGTAAATATATTTTAACTTTCTAACATCTTTGACCTCATGCTGTGGAGGTTTCTAAATTTCTGAAATATATTTTTTACATTTAAGAAATCTGTATTAATTTGTGGATGTAATTCAGTTTGCTAGAAAAGAGAATCATCAAGGAAATAAGGAATACCATTTTTATTTGGATGTATGTGCATTAATGTGTTTGCTTGGGTCAGAAATACACTTTTGAAGCAAAAATCTGCCCAGTGCCACTTAGGATGCTGTGTTTCCATCATTGATCAGTCTCTGAGGATTCAAACTTTACTCCTTTCAGCTGAAACAAAATAGGAAGATGCAAAACTGCTGGTGGGAGGGAGTTCAGTCTTCAAAACCAGGAGAAATCAAATCTGAAATAATGCTTTTCCTGATAAATGTATGTTTCAGGTCCGCAGCACCAACTGTTGCATGCTAGAGATCTGCTACTATTTTACTAGTGCTGTTGTAGTCCTAGTCTTTGTATACTCTGTCGTAAATTCAGATTCTGAGCTCATGAAAAAAATTAACTGCTGCTTTGTCAGATGAGTTAGGCTATATATTTGTTGCCAGTAACTTTCATGTAAAAATTCTGGATCTATTTTTATGTGACAAAGAAGATTGTGATATGGCCTCAAACATTTTCTGTACATGGGAAAATGATGAACCATAAAAAATGTTGAGTGAGATGAATGAAAGTGTTAAACAAAAAAAGGAGATATATTTTGTAGTAGTGGTTCTAATGTTGATGAATAAGTTTGTAAATGACATGAGAATTCTGTGTGTATCTTATGCTGTCTTCCAAGATATGAGTGTGTTAATGAGTTAGACGTAGAAGGAAATGGTGAAGAAATATAAATGTAAGGGAGAAGATAAAAGGAGAGAGATTCTTTTCATGAAATTCCATTCATAAAAATCTGACATGACCCTAATTTTTCCGTCACTGAACCAATTTGAGCTGTGGTTTGTATTTAGAAGTCTTTGAGCTCAGCTTTCAAAGATGGAAAGCGTAAACATTCTATCTGCTCCATGTTTCAGCTTCTTAGTAGTATCACAGAGCTAGTATGTCTCCTTTAGCAATTAGTTAACATGCTCTTATCCATGCAAAGCTAACCAAAAGTTGTTTTCCGGGTTTTTGGCTTCTCTTAGTGTTGGTTGATTTTGCAGGTGTTTCATTCGGTTTTGCTTTATTTTGCAAAATCAAGCTGAAGTTTACTGTTGTAGACAACATGTGTGCTTGTGGTGGAGGCAGTGCATCTTTCTCAGGCCAGCAAGGCTGGCATCGAGGAATTGAAGGAGGTTGCTGAATAACCCTTGCTTTCAGGCAAGCCACCTTAGGCCTCCTGAGGGAAGTTGGAGAGAAGCAAGGAGACTTTCAAGTTTATCACAAAGTAGTCCCGTCACTCAATTAGAGATTCTCATCTTGTGACAGGAAAGAATTAAGGTGCTGAAAAGGGAAACAACTGCAGTAATTGGTGCTGCCTTTTGTGAAGATCATCTTGCATTTGTTTGACCTGAGGACAGGTCTTTAGGAGCAGAAATCTGCGCTGAGAGGAAGACACAGGCTATAGCAGCGAGCGATTCAGTTATTGCAGTTTTACCTAGGCTAAGTTTGTAGCTCCAAAGAGGATCCCACTGTGAATTACCTGCATGGTACCCATGATTCTGGC